ATGTGGACTATTCTAGAATACCATTTGCCAAATTTCTTTTGTCATTCCTTTTCGTTTTCTCATTAAAGGTATTCTCACTGAGTGTGTCGGTTCTTATAAAAATGTTACAGAAATTTGAGAAAGAACTTTGAGTTGGTAGGTATTACTATTTTCCAAGTTCTCCCTTTTTTTGTTTTTGATGCAAGATTTTCCCCACATTTCTTCTACCTATCCCCTCTTTCTGATATGTTAAGAATATGATACCTCAGTTCCTTTAAAATTACCACCTCCAGTTGAGATTTTTGTTACATACCTAGTTCGGTTTAGCTGCTTTCTTTCCCCTCCTTGGTTTTCTTCAGTGTCACTTTCCATTTCCTCATGCACATCATCTAGGACTAGTAATTTTTATTGTCCAGATGTGGCAGCAGTGCCATTATTGATGGCCCCTCAAAAAAAGTTATAAAAATCTTAACACATTTTCCTGATTTCATCTGTTGGCTTTCTCGTTCTTGTTTTAACTTTAGACATCCTTGAGATACATCATTTAGTTTGGTCTTTCGTCAAGTTGTTTTTTTTTCCCCTCTGTTATTTTTTATTGTTTTATCAGGTGGCATTGATCATAATCTCCCACAAACTTTCAGTATAAGTTAATGTTGTTTTGTTTGTTTTTTGCTTTTTTGTTGAGACAGTAAGTGTCAAGTGTCTGAGGTCGGATTTGAACTCAGGTCCTCCTGACTTCAAGGATGGAGCTCTGTTCTCTGCAGCACCTAGCTGCCCCATATTATTTCATCAGTCTTCACAACACCCGTGCACGTTAGGTGCTATTATTATCATCCTCATTTTACAGGTGAGAAACCTGAGACACAGAGACATTGAGTGCTTTGTCCAGGGTCAGACAGCTAGTAAGTATCTGAGGCTGGATTTGAACCTGTATCTTGCTAACTCCAAGGCTAGCACTCTATCCACTGTGCTACTTAGCTGCCCTCACTATAAGTTTTTGCAGCCCAGTTTATACTCTATACTGCTGATTGCCATATACTTCTTTTGGGGAGGTAATTGGGGTTGTTGCTTTGCTTGCCTAGGGTCACACAGGTAGGAATTTTCTGAGGCCTGATTTGTACTCAGGAATGTCTTGACTTCAGGCGAAGCACTCTATCACTGTTCCACTTAGCTTCCTGTTTGCCATGTTCTTCTGAGTGGCAGGGAATCGTGTGTCTGCTAAGGCAAGATTTAGAATCTTGGTCTCATTAGAGTAGATTGGTTTTCATTATTTATTACAATTTTGCGTAGAAGTTTAATCCTAGTCCTTCATCTATTTCTCTCTCTCTTTTTTTTTTGCCATCAGCAAGCTTTTAAATAGGTCAGTTTCTTTTTGTATCCTATTTCTGCCATTTCCCCCTTCTAGTCTGATATTGATTTTAGTCTTTGTCTTAACAATTTGGTGATGTTATTGTATAACACATGGTTGCACTAGAAACAGACATTTGATTCAGAAAGTATTCTCACCATGTTATGTGGCTTCCTTTTCACTAAAATATCATTAGTTTAATTGGGATGTCTCTTCGTACAAATCACCAACTACTATAACATTAAAGGCTTGTAGGCCTAGAAAGCATCTCAGTGAGTGAATGTTTGAGAGAGAAAGACAGCAAGAAAACACCAGCTTACCATTGAAACAATTTAAGTTATGGTCTTAGGGTGGAGGAAACTAGGATTGCCTCAGAAGCATGAAAAGAAAACACTTGATGAAAAAAAGTGTACAGGAGACTTGGCTCAGCAAAATGGCTTGGAACACATTTTAGGATAGTACTTCTAGCACAGCAAAAAATAGAAAAAGGCTTGTAAATTCTGGTGTCTTTTTTTTTTAATACTGATAATTTTTCACCTGTTGTAACACAGGAACTATCACATTTAGATTTTTCATATTCTCCTGTTATTTACTTAAGGAATCAAAAGACACTGGAGAGGAAAAAGGATGGGAAGAGTAGCTTTACTAGACCAGGTAGACACAGAGAAACCCTCTGCTTCAGGCAGCTTTTATCATTTGATTCACACATTATTACATAGCATCTCTTGAAGAGATGAATGAGAGGATAGGGCCAGAATTGAAGAGGGGTACAGAATATGGCTTGGTTGCCTTCCTTTGGGAAGTTGCATAGTTCTTTTAGTGGTTTTAAGTTACACCTTGAAACACATGCTTGTCTGATTAACATCAATGTTCTTTCAGTGTTGGTGTATGAATATGAGTCATAGGATACCACAGTTACTGAATAATTCAAGTTGAGGGTCACCCAAGAGGGCAGTCGTGAACTCCGAGTGTGTGTGAGAAGTCTGTAAATGCTAGCAATCAGGAACTTTTTGAGGGAAGCTATGTTTGTTATTCAGGTTTATAATCAGAAAAGAAGGTAGGCTAGTCATATAGTGAGAGTGAAGATAACCAGTGGATAGTCAGGGTGCTTGTTCCCCTGGCATCTATACAATGTCAAGACAATGAGGTTCCTGGCACCTTAGCTGGAGACCCCCTCTATAGAGGATACATGGGATGATGTGGACAAGTCACACAGTATAAGAGGGCATGGTAAGGTTACAGGCTGCAGTCTTAAAGGAATACCTGTATCAGTAACATTATAGATTAATTTATGTATAAACTCTTTTAAGGATTTGATTTTGACTTCTGTCACGTAGGCATTCCGCAGTTCTGTGCATTTTACCTGATGCTGATATAGTGGCATGGAATTGACCTCAAGTTCTCAAAAAGCTGTGTACAGTGAACTCTGCAAGCTTGGCAGATTCTACCAGAAGTCAAAAAGACTTCAAGGGCAAGCCCTGCAATTGACTTTTTCTGTCACCCAAAGACCAACTAAGTGAAGTCTGTTATCTGTTAAGTGGTTGTCACTTTTCTCTTATGCTTAATATCACCAGGAATGAGAGGGTTGGTGTATGTTCAGTATACCTAGTATTTTGATAATGCTCAGGAAATAAGGTAGTATAGTAGAAAAAAGAAGAGCACTGGACCTGGATCTTAGAGGACTTGGTTTCAAACTCTGGCTGTGCTGCATGGTCCTTATGACCTTGGGCCAGTCCCTAACAACTGGGTCTCCTTTAGTAGAATGGCTGGATTGGACTAGATGACTTCCTAGTTGCCTTTCAGATCTTAATTTCTGATCTTACAATTTAACAACTTTTGACTTTAGGCAAGGCTCTTATTCTCTCTGGTGTTATGAAATAACAGATCCGTTAGCTACTGAATTATGGCATGTAATAAGATTGAGTTGTTAATACACAATGGAGGGAATCCTGGTTTCAAATTCTGGCTTTGCCGCTTTAGCTATCTGACTTCAGACAGTCATTTAGTCTCTTTGAGTTAGTTTCCTCATCCACAAAGGCAGGGGATAGATTAAATCACCCTTGAAGTCTTTCAGTTCTAAACCTGTGATTGTATGATTAAATACAGCTTTGGAGAACTTAGTTTGGTATTTTTTATTTGTAGGAGTTTCTTAATGAAGAGGAAATTGAAGGCTTTAGAATATGTCTAGTTGAAATCATGAAGGACAGTCCCCTTTGTGCCCAATCTTCATATTTATTGAAGTGAATTCTTGTGGAGTAAAGCTGGCTAGTTGCCAGTGATAAAGCTGTAGAAGGAAGAAGTGTTTAGAATTCAAAAATTAAGTAACTGATGTTTACACAGCATGAACTCGTATTAGATAGTTACTACAGAAACTAAAACTAAATTGAGGAAGACATGCCAATCTATTGGTTAAAGGGTATTTCTGCATAGGGAATCCTCCACTCAATTGGTTTTTTGTTTTTTTTTTTTTCAAATTAGCATCTATAGGATGAAGCCAAAGCTTTACTTTACTCGAATGCAGATTTACAGTGCTGGAAAGAATGGGAATTTAGTAAAGTAGCTTGAGCCCACTTAAAGGGTGATTCTACCCTTTAATATAAAAGCAGTATAAGCAGTTTTTGTTTTTTTCTTTCTTTTTAAAATTTTTAATTCATTTTTCAATATTAAAAAAATTTAAAATATTTAAATAAAATTTAATTAACATTTTATTAATTTATTTTTATTTTTAACATTCACTTCCACGAGTTTAAAATTTTCTCCCACTCCCTTTCTTCTCCCCTTCCCACGAAGACATTCAATCTGATATAGGCTCCTCATATACATTCCCACTAAACATATTATTACATCAGTCATGTTGTAAAGAAGAACCAGAACCAATAAGAGGAACCGCAAGAAAGAAGAAGGAAAACAAAACAGAAGAAAAATAAAGAGCTAATAGTATGCTTTGGTCTGCGTTCAGACTCCATAGTTCTTTCTCTGGATGTGGATAGCATTTTCCATCATGAGCCCCCTGGAGATGTCTTAGATATTTGCATTGCTGAGAAGAGCTAAGCCTATCAAAGTTAGAGTTTTTGTTTTTTCAAAACCAAATAATTAGCAAATCTAATTATGAAAGGTAGAAGTAGCATATCTAATGGATAGAGTACTGGCTTTGGGATTCAAGAAGGACCTGGGTTCATTTTTTTAGCCTCTAATAACATGCTGGCATTCTCATCCAGGGCAAGTTACTTATTCCCCCTGATAGTTCTCTTTAAGTTGCTGATTAAACACAATTCTGTGGAGGAAGATTTTCCCTATAAAATAAATCACAAGTTTTATTTCTTTAAAAAAAATTTGAGAAAATATATATAGCCAAATCAGTTGCTATATGTTTTCTGCTTCATTGTCATCCTACACTTCCAGAGGAAATTGGAACAGAATATTTTACTTATGATATTTGTACTTAAAAAGTTATATTTTCTCTTTGATATAATTAGTACAAAAGCAAGTATTAGTGTGATTTTTAATCTTTGCAACTGCCATTGAAATGTGGATTGATAGTGTCAGGTAATATTGATGATAGCATTTAGTTGTTATTATTGCCATGAACATTTACATATGCTCATTAGGGATTGTCCTTTCATTTTTCTCAAATAACCATCTTCTGTATTCCATTTATATTTTTAAAAACTAGGTTTGCACAAGCTGTGAAGACAATGCAGAAGCAAATGGTTTTTGTGTAGAGTGTGTTGAATGGCTCTGCAAGACTTGTATCAGAGCTCATCAGAGAGTAAAATTCACAAAGGACCATACTGTCAGACAGAAAGAGGAAGTATCTCCAGGTAAAACTAGTGTTTCAAGTTTTAATTTCATATTTCTTATCAAATGCATGTAATTCTGAGTTCCATACATTAAAAGGCCCTTGTCCTCAAAATGCTTCTACTTTAATAGAAATTTAATAGAAGATAAACATAGAACCTCTCCCCCCAGCACCTTTTTCTTTCTTTTCCACACATATAATATAGCATGGAGAGCAATTTCAAGAGGTCTGTTTCTAGAACCTGTTTCTGTACTCACTGTAGTAATCTTACTTATATCTATTGCATTTGAGTTGATTTGAGAGTGTGCGTGAAAAACAGCATTCTGCATTTTAGCTGGTTTCTTAGAGACAGTAGTAGTTCACGAGCTTTTGGGCACTGTTTATCAACTAATTTCCATTGTTTTACTCAAGTACTTTATCATTGAGTATAAGGTTTTTTTATTTAAGTTGTATGTAGTTCAAATTTTTAGCTTCCAGTTCTTAAATGGGATAATAATGGATAAATAATGGATAAAACTTCCTGAAACCGATCAGGGTCCCAGCTCCTTGCCTTTTAAAACTATATCTCCCCATTGTGAAAGTACAGGGGCTATTTAAAGGCCCAATCCCAGTACTGACTGGCATGGGAGCTTTGACCTGCTCCATTTCTGACATGGACCAGTTTGTCCTTCCTGAAACAACATGGTGCCCTCACTCTCCTGGGAGCCTACCATGATGATGCTGATTCTAATGAGGACACCTACATAGCTCACTGCATCTAAGAACTCACAAGCCCAAGAAACCCATGTGTTTAGTGGCTGGCATTACAGGTATGCACTATGTGATGTCCAACCAATCACTCCCTCTTAACTATTTCCCTTTAAATTTAGTGAGAAAGTCAGGTCAGCTGGGAAAGAGATTTATTTTAATTGAATTAAACAGATTTTCTACTCTTAGTTTAGTCACCTTCGACAAATCATTCCTTCTACGAAGGTTAATTAGGCCTCTGATTCAAGGAAGACCATAGACTTTCAGACTATGACATTATACTAGTATTTCTTAATATTTTATAACAAAACAAGCCCTTCTCCACATGTCTGTGTATGGAGTGCTAAACTTTAAGATAGGAAGACCTGAGTTCAAAATTTGCTTTTGATACTTAGTAGCTTTGAAATCAGTAGAAAGTGATTTAACCTCCGTAAAACTCAGCTTTCTCTCCTGGAAAAATCCAAGACCTTAATGGATTGTTGTGAGGCTCAAATAAGATAATAACTAGGCATTCAGTGGGATAATGTTTAGAGCTTGAAGGGACTTTAGGGGTCATCTGATCTGAGCTTCTTACATTATACATGAGGAACTGAGACACAAAAGGGGTCAAGTGACTTAACCCAGGGTCACACATCTAGTAAGTGTCAGATACCATTTGAAACCAGGTTTTCCTAACACTTAAGTCTAGTACCCTATCAACTACATAGAAAGCCAAAGATTTATGGCTTTTAAATAAAATTTCTTTGTAAGTAATTGTCATAAGTATATTAAATTTTCAAATGATAAAAAAAATCTTAAAATTGTTATAAAAATAGCTACATGTCATTTATATTGGTATCATAAGAATGTTCCACTTTTGAAATAGCTGATTTCTGACCATTTAAACATTTAACATTTTCATGGTTTTAGCATTTTTATATCTACAAATGGTTTATGGGGGAAATTTGACTGTTTCCTATTGTACCCTCTGGCTATCATCCAATTCTTCATCTTTTAACCCCAAATTTCTTGATGTGTGGGGTCTGTATTTATTGCTTCCATTTTACTTAACTCTTTGTAATCTGGCTTTTACCCTTGAAAACTGTTCTAAAGGTATACTCTCAAATCTAATAATGTTGCCACCTTCAGTTGTTAGGTAGATGTGGTGACTGTGACTTTTGTATTCTGAAACCTAAGAATGTTGTCCTCAAATGACTAGTCATAGATGCTGCTTTCTCAGGAACTGATAAAGCACTCTATTTTCTCTCTTCTGATTAGTCCTGTTAAATACTGAAGAATCTTTCTTTTATAGTTGGGTAGGGTTATTTAAATCCTGATGAAAGGTGGGCAAAACTTTTTCAATAATCCTTCATGTATTACCAAGGGATACCATTCATGGTCGGTTATCAAGAAGAGGATGGAGATTTGAGTGTATCGCCGGCCATATCTCCATTTATTTTGGTGTTATGTGGTGTTTTCCTTATCCAGGATCTTAAACCTCCCCTTTTAGCCTTAGAACATAGTGGGGTACCCCCCCATTTGCAGCATTTTAGCGAAGTTCTACTAAGCCAACAGCCATATCCATCATACTCTATCCTGTCCTCTTTTCTCCTGCGTAAGAATCGTGTATCATCTTTTAGATCATTTACCTTCATGCATTGTTAATTTTGTACCTCAGCATAGAGGTAATTTGGGGTTCTCAATATGTATTTATTCTGTATATATTTTTATATACAGAACGTATGCATGTCTTATCCCTCAACGGGCTATGAACTCCTTGAGAGGCAGGACTGTTTAACTTTTTGTTTTTATATCCCTGTAGTGTAACATATGTCTGGCACTTAGTCGACACTTAATAAATCCTTGTTGATATTATTAATTTGCCACTTTGCAAAGGATTCTTTTTCTATATAATCCCTATATCTGTCCTGTGTTACATAAGTAGTGAACATGTGAAGTGATCTCTATGTAAGTCTTTCAGTTAGCAAACTTTTATTAAATGTCTGCTGTGTGCCAGATACTGTTTTTGTTCTAAGAATATGAAGACAGAAATCAAACAGCAAGGAGCCTTACATTCTATTGAGGTAGAAAACATGTTCACGTAAAAATATACCAAATACAATTTAAAGGACAGTTTTGGAACAAAGTCTTCATTAGGAAGGGATTTAGGAAGGCTTCAGGTAGAAAGGTTGTGCTTATTCTGAGGCCTGAATGACTTAAGGGATTCTCAGAGTTTGGAGGTGAGGGAAGAGTGCAATAATACTAGGTCGGATTCCTTGCTGTCTTTGTTTTGGGCAGCTAGATAGGCACATGCAGGAATCAATAGGCTTTACTGTTGCTAAAATAGGATGTGAACATCAAGTTACAGGCACCAGCTACTTAGCAGGGAGAAGGTGCGAGTAATACATATAATGCGAAACAGAAGCTAACATAAAACCGTTGTTTCAAAGAAATATTTATTGCCACTAAGTCTGTCCATGGCTAAATTGCATACTGCTTTCAGTCATAAGAAAGTGACCATTGCATTTACCTTAATGATAATTTTACCATTTTCAGATGTAGAGGAAACAGCCAATGAAATTGTTATTCAACAATTAATGCTGACTAATATGTAAAATGATAGAAGTACAAATCAAAAGTTTTCACCCTTGACCTACCAGATTGGAGAAGGTGATAAAAGTCAACATTGGCACTGTAAATAAAAATGATAGTAAACTTGATGTGATGAAGGGGTATGGTTATGTCATCATATTGAAATCATAATTTTTAGAGAAATGCATCTGACATGTACCAACAATTTGGGAAGAACAAATTTCAAAGCATTAGAGCAGTGTAAAAGCTCCAGGAAGAAAGGAAGAGTTGTCTGAAGACAGTAGTTTCATAGGGACCACAGATCCAACTGAGGCTTTTTTATTTTGGTGAGTTTCTTTAAAGTAAGGGAAAGCATTTTGAGCACCTGCCCCTTCCTAACCCCCTAAAAAAAAACCCTTACATAGTACATAATAGTAGTTATCATGTGTATTGAGCTTTACGATTGGCAAAGTGACTTTACATGTGTTAATCTCATTTAGGGACAACTAAAAGCTACAGTGGATGGTGTCGCTTGACCCTGTGTGTAGTCAGGAACACCTGAGTTTAAATTCACCCTCAGATACTTACTAGCTGTGTGATCTTACTAGTTGTGTGCAAAGCAAGTCACTTAACTTAACCTTTTTCTGTTTTAGTCTTCTTCTCATCTTTAAGATGGAAATGATAGCATGTACCTCTCAATATTACTGTGAGGATAAAATGAGGTAATATTTATAAAACATTAGTCAAAGTGCCTAGCACATAGTAGATGCTAAGTAAATGCATATTTCCTTCCTTCCTGTGTTCCCATTTTACTGATGAGAAAGCTGAGTTTGAAAAGTTAATTGACTCAGCCAAGGTTAACCAGCTAGTGTCTAAGGCAGGATTGGAATTCGTAGATAGGCAGATTGGTAAGATATGGATAATACAAATATAAATGTATATTTTATGATATACATTATATATATATATATATATAAGAGAGTCTCCAATTATGTCACCTAATTGCCTAGTATATTCACAAAAAGACAAATAATAAATATGTGATCTTTTCAGGATTTAGTTTACTTTGTTTTTCCTTCTTAAATTTAAGAAGCCACCCATTGTAACTAAGAAATTTTTTTTTAATGGGAGGAAAATTAAATATCTGCTGAATTTGACATGTGCAGTATTTCACAGTCAACAGTCTTCTGTCACTGATCAGTCTCACGCATGGAAGCTTATGTCTTTTCCTCTTTTCAGAGATATGCTTCGATCATTATCATTTCAGTAGTCATTCATTTATATTGTTGCAGCCTTTGTGTATATTTTCTTTTTGCTTAATTTGCATCAGTTTGTGCAGGTCTTCTTATACTTCTCTATGTTTTTCATTTCTTATGTGGTAACATTCTACTAAATTCATGAGCCATGATTAGTTTAGACATTCCCCAATCAGTGGGTGTCTATTTTGTTTTTGTTTTTTGTTTCTGCACAAAAAGCTGCCAGAAACAGTTTTTTATTTCATTGATCTCTTTTGAGTGTAGTCTCAGCATTTGACCCATTTAGTGATTTATCATAATTCCATATTCTCTCTGGAATTGTTGGGCAATTAACAGCCCTGCTAGCAATGTTAATATGCTTGTCTTTCTACAACCTCCTCAGAATCGCCTGTTTCAGTCTACTGTCTGGTGAAACCTAGTTGTTTAATAAATGTCTATCCAGTCAGTAAATATCAATGTGCTGGGCGCT